CTCTCCAACATTTGTTGTTGGTTGATTTCTTTATGATAGCCATTCTTTCTGGGGTGAGATGGTATCTCAATGTTGTTTTAATTTGCATTTCACGGATGGCTAGTGATGTGGAGCATTTGTTCATATATTTGTTCGCTTCTTTAATTTCATCCTCTGAGAAGTGTGTGTTCATCTTGGATGCCCATTTCTGGACTGGGTCTTTAAATTTTGGGGCCCTAGTGTTTTTTAGTTCTTTATAATTTCTAGAGAGCAGATCTTTGTCTGAGTACTTACTTGTCATGATTTTTTCCAGATTTGTGGGTTGTCTTTTCACTTTGTTAGTAATTTCTTTTGAGGTGCAAAAACTTCTCAGTAAGAGCAGGTCCCAGTTGTTAATTCTTTCAAGTGTTTCCCACGCGATTTGATTTTTGTTCATGAGCTCTTTCCCTACCCCTATGTCTTCAAGAGTTCCTCCTACTTTCTTTTCCAGGAGATTTAGTATTTCTGTTTTAATATTTAGATCTTAATCCATTTTGACTTTAGCTTAGTGCCTGGTGATAGTCCTGGTCAAGTTTTAGTTTTCAGCATGTAGAGAGCCAGTTCTTCCAGCACCATTTGTTAAAGAGGCTATCTTTCTTCCAGTGAGTATGTTTGGCCCCTTTGTCAAAGATAAGATGGCTGAGTATGTTCATAGAGGCTTCAGGCTTTTTTATTTTTGATACAGATATGGAGGGAGGAAGGGAGGGAGGGAGGGAGGAAGGGAGGAAGGGAAGTGGGTAGACAGACAGATAGAGCAGGACTAAGCACACTTTACCGCTAAGCTACACCCCAGCCCCTTAACTGGCTCTTTGAAAGAGAGAATGATCCAGCTAATGCAGGGTCATATTTGCAGGCAGGTGTTTATAACTGGTAACTCCCTCAGGTGGGAGCGGAGATGGTTATGTTCTGGCACCAACTGACCTTTACTTCTTTTTTTCAGTCTTTACAAGTTACTAAGAGGTGTCTCCTGCTTCCGAGCTGCAGAAGGAGCATCTCTACTTCTGCTCCTTGGAATCAGCCCTGCAGTGTGGCCTGGCAGGGGTCCATGCAGTGGAGCCCAGGGGCTTGCTTTGGAATCCTGGCCCTACTGCTGTGGGCAAGTCACCACGGGCTCCTCTTGCTGCACTGACAACTGAAGATGGGGATGCCCCCTGCACAGAGTACTGGCCTGCATGACACCAGTGTCCCTATGTGCTCACACTGTGCCTGTCACATAGTAAATAGCAGCACTGATGTTTACTCACTAGTCCAGTACTCTAGAATTGGGGGAGACATTCAGAAGCATGGTAGAAAGGGACTCCAGTTTCCTGCTCAGTCGCTCTCTGTTCTTCCCTCAGGCATTCCCATCAAGAGTACCATGGACAATCCCACCACCACACAGTACGCCAACCTCATGCACAACTTCATCTTGAAGGCGCGGAGCACAGTGCGTGAAATTGACCCCCAGAATGACCTCACTTTCCTCCGAATTCGCTCCAAGAAAAATGAAATAATGGTTGCACCAGGTAAGGGGCCTTCCACTGCTCCGCTTAGAAGCAGACGCTCATAGCATGTCAGGAAGACCTGACACATTGCTCTCCAGAGGCCCATTGTGGGCGTGAGAAATTGAAACGGGTCCATTTGCCCCACTGCCTAGTTGGTGTCTCCGGACAAATCTCCACAGTGACTGTGGGCCTCAGAGGGGAATCATGCTCATATGGAGAAGAAAACACCCAAGTATAACAGATTACCCTTTCTTTGAGATGGGCAAATTGAAAGGCACATCTGGGACATAAGGAAGGGTGTGATCAGATCTATCTGGCTTCCTAGAAGAGCTCTTGGAGCTAATCTTGAGGGCCCCAAAAGCATGTGAAGTGGACAGCAGGAAAGCTGTGTCTGGAGGAAACAAATTCTGTGATTCTTTTTTTTTGATGGTACGGGGCATTGAACTCAGGACCTTACACTTGCCAGGCAAGTGTTTATTCTACTGAGCTATCTCTCTGGCCCTAAATTCTGTGAGTCTAAGCCAGAATGTAACAGTCCTGTGTCCAGGGCCCTTGCAGCTAGCTTTTCCTCCAGCCCCAGAGCAGATTGCTGTTTAGTTTCCCACAAAGTGCTGGGCTTGCATGTGGAGGCTGTGCAGTGCAACCACACTGGTCTTTGGATGTTAGGACCTTTCTTAGGTGAGGAGATGCCCATCCCAGAAGGGGAAGAGGAGAAACCCACAGAGCTGCCTCTCCAGCCCTGCTGCGCCTTACTTGCAGTCTGCAGGGAAGGACAGACTGTCCAGGACTGTTTCTTGCATTATGTCTTGCTTTCTTTTTCTGGCGAGGACATAGCTATATGTGCATGAGTTAAATTCTCAGCTGCTGAGTGCTTAAGTTGCAGTACGGCTTGCCTAGGGTATCAGAAGCTGTGTAGGAAGGAGTGGAAGGTAGTATATCTCTGCCTGAATCTGTTGGGTGGCGAGAATCTCATTTCCTAGCTCCACACCATACAGTTTGGCCTTGGGCAGGTCATGGCACACCTGTAAGTGCACTTGTGAGGCATCCAATTGGATGTGTGTGTCCGCTGAGGTGGGCAGAAAGCCTTGGAATCCAATTTGAACTAAGCTTCCCTAAGACTGCGTTGTGTGTCTGTGGAGCACAGATTTCCCACATCCCTGAAAGGGTAGACGGACTTGGCCTCCGTTCACACTGTGAGGCAGAGCAGGCCCGAGCTCTCCAGGGTTTGAGCTCAGCAAGGGCGAGGTTCTCAGCACGCAGCGACAAGCCATCTCTTCTGCAAGGCAGAGCCATCTGAAGGCTGTCAGACCCCAAAGCGAAGCCACTCAGCCTCGTCGCAGAGGCAGGGGTGAGGGGACCGGCCCTGCCTGGCACCACACAGAGGCCCCAGGTAGTACATGCACTCTCACGTGGGGTCTGACACCTGCACACACATCTATGCTGGAGGGTGTGTGACACGCTGAGGTCATCTCAAACAGTGTTTCTGTGCCTCACCACACTGCTACAGCCTGCTGCCCCAGCCTTCCTACTCACCAGCTGCTGCTGAAAGCCTGACCAGTCATGTCCTTTTTTTTTTTTTTTTTTGTCGTCTAGATGTTTAAGACAGCCCGTTTTATATTTTTAAATTTTGAGACAGGGTAAGTTGCCCAGCTACACTTAAACTTCCCATCCTTCTGCTTCAGCCTCTTAGGCTGTGAGCATAGGTGTGCCTGTTTTTACCAGTACACAGCTAAGTTCCATGAGCACAGGAACATGTAAGCGCATTAGTGAGCATTTAACAAGTGAGTAAGTGAACGGCTTCCGAAACCACTGCTGTGGTCAGGGCTGGAGACCTGCGTAGGTCACTGTGATTTGATCCTGACATAGCCACTTTATTGTGGTCTAGAAGAAACACTGGGTTTTGGTGCCAGAACTGTGAGCAGGAGTGCTGATGAGTCTTAGAATGTTAGGGCTGGCATAGAACAAAGAGCCCTTGCTGCTGTGCTTTGGGGCCAGTGCTTGTGGGACTGTAATTAGCACCCCACATACTGGCCGCCTGGAGTAGCCCTTCCTGCCCACCTTCCTTGACCAAGTAGGAAGTCGCTTCTCCTCCCAGCAGTAACAGCCATTGGTTTCTGACGTTTGGCTCTTCACTGTCCACATTTTACCCTGTGTTGGTCCAGAACAACCCACACAAAGAGACATTTTAAGATAGACTCAGCCCAGCATGATAGCACATGCCTGTAAGCCTAGCGCTCAGGAGAGAGGCTGAGGCAGGAGGATTGCTGCAAGTTGGAGGCACAAAGCTGAGCTGACTCAGTCCAGGCAGCCTTTAGAATGCTGCCTCCCAAAGAGCACTTGATTTGGCTTTACAGGGTGTAGAACATGATAGTTTGGAGTAAAAGACACTGCTGTATTGTTTGTTTGTTTTGGTGGAGTCGGGTATTGAACTGGGTTCTTTGCGCCTGCCAGGGAAGCGCTTATTCTACTGAGCCATCTGCCTGGCCCCAGACACTGCTATGTTGCTTGTGTCCTTGTGTTTGTTTTTATGAGTCATGTGGCTTACTAGTTTTTCTTTTATTTGGAGGGGGATTAGAGTTTCTGGTTTAAGGGGGTTTTTTGTTTTGTTTTTGTTTTTGTTTTTTTTAGACAGGATCTTGCTATGCAGTTCAGGCTGGCCTTGAATTCACTATGTACCCAGACCTTAGAATTGCGGTGTACCTTTTCTTTATATCTTTTCAGAAATATTTTTGGTTTGGGGATGGGGAGATGGCTCAGTAGAATAAGTGCTTACCTGGCAAGTGCAAGGGCCTGAGTTCAATCGCTGGTTCCACCAAAAAAAAAAAAAAAAAAAAAAAAAAAACTGGTTTATACCATTTTATACGGTTTTTGTTTTGTTTTGTTTTTTGAGACAAGGTCTTGCTATGCCATTCAGGCTTGCCTTCCTTATCACTATGCAGCCCAGGCTGGCCTTGAACTTGGGGCAATCCTCCTGCCTCAGCCTCCTGAGTGCTAGGATTACATGCATGTACCACCACTCCCAGCAGTTAATTTCTGTTTCTAATAGTGATTTTGTTTTTGTGTGTAGATTGCTTAACCATAAAACTATTAGCCATTAGTTTCTTAATTTCTGTTTCTTGCTTGCAACAGACCACCATCCTGGGAAGCACCAACCTAGAGACTTGAATTTAAGTTGCCAAATTGCAGGCATGCCTGATGTCCTGCCTCTTCCCTCATGCTCAGCAGGGAGCAGCAGACCAGGGGGCTCCAGTTAAGGGGTAAAATCCAGATGGCATGTGCCTGCCTCATCCTAGCTGATGTATTTGCCTTGCTCTGGCCACCTTAACCCAGAGCCTCAGTATTCTCAGTAAAATGGGAAGATACTAGCAGCTACCTAGTCATTCAGGGGTTTACTAAGGAGCCATGGGAAAAGTGGTTGAGACAGGCCTGGGCACATGGAAAGTAAGTGTAAGACCCTTCCTCAACAAAACAATTTGATTATGAAGTAGCCAGGGTTAAAACTCCTTGTGTCTCCAATTCTCTCTTCTACAAATTGAGGGTTAGTCTGGCCTGCTTCTGATGACTTGGGAGTTCCTGGGGTTCAGAATGGACATTTCTCCTCCCTGGGCTGGATCACTGGCTTTGGTTCCCCTTTGACCTCATGCCTTTGAAAGGTTCTTGCCCAGAAGGCTCTAGAAAGCCAACAGCTGAGTTTAAGACAGAAACTGCCATCAATCCAAACCCCGTAAGGGCTGGAATTTTTTTTTTTTTGGCGGAACCGGGGATTGAACTCAGATCCTTGTGTTTGTCAGTCAAGCGCTTATCCTGAGCCATCTCCCTGGCCCTAGGGCTGGAATTTCATCTTCAACACTAAGATGGCAAACCTGAGGGTCGGCTCCACAGCTCAGCGGACTAAAGTGCCTGCTTCGCGGCAAGCCTGCCAGCCCCGCCCCCAGCATGCACTGAAACTGGGGGTGGTGAGAGCCTGTAATCGCAGCACTTGGGAGGCAGAAGACAGGAGGATCACTATGAGGCCAATCTAAGTAGTGAGACCCTGTAGAACCGGTCCTAAAAAATACCCAAAAAAAGGATAGAAAATATTTTGGGGGAGAACCTTTGAACTTCAGTGCCCTGCCCAGGAAAGAGCTGAGATTCCTCCCTGCCTGGTGCTGCTGGTTTAGAAAAGAAGAGCAATGGAAGGTTCCCAAAAAAGGTTCTTGCTGTCCAGAGCCCTTAAGATTTCTCAGAGCTGAAGATCGAGTACCTGAGAACATTTGCCACAAGAATGCTGAGCACTGTCACCACGAAGAGAGGCAGACAGCAACAAGAGCTGGCAGCATCTGTGTCTGTCCTCGGGATCTGTGGTGTGGATGGTGGGACCCCTGATGTCTGCAGCTGTTGTGGGAGCTTCCGTGTCCTGGCCAGGTCTCCGGTGCCTTTCTTGTTAAGCTGAGGAAGGCTTCCGTTACTTCAGGCCCTGTCACACCACGTATTACATGCGGTGCCTAAACCTGAAAGTAAATGAACTTGAGGCTGGGGTGTAGCTCAGGGTAGAGTCCTGCCAGCCTGTGCAGCACCCTGGCTTCCAGCCTAGCAGCAGATCTGTAAGGCATAGTTATGGCAAAATCATTAAGAAGTGAATTGCAGAAGATACCAATATGCAATGTATTAATTATTGAAACTGTCGTATTAATCAGTTTTGAAACTGTCTCATTGCTGTTTCTCAATAAAATTAATTTTTTAAAAAAGTGAATTGCTTAATGTAGTGGAGCACATGGAAGCCTAACATTAGGAGGCTGAGGCAGGAGAGTCGCTGCAGCTTGGAGGGCAGCCTGGGCTACAGAGTGAGATCCCGTCTAAACAAAGTGAAAGTAGTACGTTGCCTTGACATAAGGCATCATCTGCATGGAGGATCTAATTGATGAAATCTCAGGGCTAGCCAAATAGCTCTGGATTAAAGCGACTGCAGACAGGCGCAGGGGCCGGGGGTTCAATCCCGGGCCTGCCATGCTGGCCCCGCCCCTGGGGCGCACTGAGACAGCAATTGAGACTGGGCGTGGTGATGCGCCTCTAATCCCAGCTCTTGGGAGGCTGTAAACAGTCTGATCACTACAGTCTGATAGTAGTGAGACCCTGAACACCCTGTAGACCCTTCCCTAAAAATACAAAAAAGAAAAAGAAAAAAATCTATTGGAAAACACTTCTGGGAAGCAGATAACTTCCATGACCCTTCAGATTGTCTTCACCAGGTGTGATGAAAAAGATCCTGCACTGTGTGGAAAGGCCGGCACAAGGGAGAACAGTTCAGCAGGCATCATGGCCGAGTGCCCTGGCGTCTGTGGCCTGGTCCGTGCGCCCAGCGGGTGCTTCAGACAGGCAGAGAAGAGCAGGTGCTGTGGGCCAGCTGAGCGCCGGGAGGTGCTGCGCGCAGGAGTCCCCGAATCCTGTAGCGGATGTGGCCTGGATATTGGCAGGGTTATTACATTTTGTCGTTCGCTCCCATTTTGTGAACTGTTAGGTTTTCCTTCCGTTTTTTCATTTAGTGACTTGTCTTTTCATTTTTCTCTCTTGCAGATAAAGACTATTTCCTGATTGTGATTCAGAACCCAACTGAATAAGCCATTCTCTTGACTCCCTTTGTCATCCCTTAATTTAATGCCCCCCAAGAATAACAGCGTTAATCATGTCAAGCGGCTGCCTGCCTTGGAAGCCCCCCCACACGCCAGGGACCAGAGTGGCCCAGCAGTTCCACCCTCCCTTCTGGGGGTCACAGTGCTGCACCGGGCTTCCAGCAGGGCCCCCCTTGCTGCCAGATTGTGGAGCAGGAGCTGCTGAGAAGCCTGCACCGAGCTTCTTTCTGCCCTTCAGTTCCCTTTGTCGCCCTTGGGAAAGGCTTGTTTTTCTTTCAACTAAAAATAACCAAAACACATACCCTGCTTGCTGTCTTTAAATACTTGGTCGGAATGGCCTCTCCATTTACTGCTCTGCCTTAAAACAGGGCCCCTTTCCCCACACCTGCCACCCACCCGCCAGCTTTTGTGAGCTTTGTGCCGTTGCGCCCTCTGAGAAAGGCAGGAGTGGTTCCTGCTGAGAACCCAGAGACACCCAGTGTCTTCCGTCCCCTCTGCACTCTGCATAGTCATGACGTGGGGTCCTGAGATGCAAGGCCCCAGCCCAGAGCCGAGCTCCGGCTCCAACAGCCCTGCCCTTTCCAAGCCTCCTCCCCAGCCTACCCGCCTGGCTTTAAGCCCTCTCAGCGTTGGCCACTGCTCTCCACAGGGCACAGCGGCATAGGTGAGCGGAGCTGGCCCATCCTTGGGGACATCCCCTCTTCCTGTTCCCCTTCCTTGGGGGGGGGGGCGTACTGTGTGGTGGGCGCCTCCCTGCGGTCAGTCATAGAGAACATGCTCTGCACAGAACACAGTCCTGCTGGTGGTGATGGGGTCCAGTTAGGTCCAAGACAGCATTATTTTGCTGCCACCCTGGCCTTGCTCTCTGGGCCCAATCCTGCTGTCCCTGGTAGGTGTGAGACCCTGTGCCAGGTCTGGACAGGCTCTCTTTCCTGTGATACCAGGGACTGAGGCCAGTTCTTTTTTTTTTTTTTTTTTTCCTCGAATGCCTTCAGGGCACTTTTGGCCAGCAGGAGAGGTGTGAGGTTCGAACTCCAGCAACCTGAGGCTGACAGCTTTGTGGAAGCAGCCACTTAAAGGCCTGAGCTAGGGCCAGGCCCCAAGGCCAGTTCTGAGCTGCATCCCCATCGTATTTGTGGCAGGCCTCACTAGACCACTCCACCCAGCTGGGCTCCAAGCTGTCCTCATGCCTTGGCCTCCTGGGGCGCTAGGACCCCTGCTGGGCTGTACCCAGAGGGGGGCCCCCACACGGTGCAAGTGTGGGCTTGGCTTTGTTTGTCCATCTTGTGCTGTGCTGCTTGTTGCCAAGTGGAGGGGAAGGGAGTGTAGTCTGGCAGTGACTGACTTCAGGCCTGGGAGCCTGGTGCATTTCCTGGAGTTTTCAAAGGTCTCCCTGCACACTGCCATTCCCTTAGAACGATGAACCTCCTACCCCCTACCCCAGTCCCAGAGTCCCATCTGTCTGCTGCCACCTTCATTCTGGGATTCTGGGTGAAGCCCAGCACCCCAGCACCTCCCAGGCCGCATCCAGGCAGGAGTGCACAGCTCCAGCCACCTCTCTGCATCCTTCCTTGGTCTCAGGTACGGTCTCTTTGGTGTCCCAGCAGAAGCAAAGGAAAAGTGGGTCGGCTTCACCTTCCTTCACGAGAAATGGGTTCATAGGTCTGCCCAGAAGGCAAAGTAAAATGGAGAACTTTGCCATATCTTCATTTTCTTGAGTTATAAATACCTTCAAAATTCATTAGCTTTTCATACATATTTAGGGAAAACACAAACAAAGCAGCTTATCTTGTTCTTTTTTGTGGAGCTGGGGATTGAGCTCAGGAAGTGCTGAGCTATGTCCCCAGCCCCTAGGTGGGTTTTTCTTCTGTTTTCCCTAGATGGCTTTTTGAATCAGTGCCTTGTGGAGTTACCCAGCCTGGCTTCAGATTTACAGTCTTCCTGCCTCAGCCTCATGAGTAGTAGCTGGGAATTATGGGCATGAGCCTTACCCACGTTCTTACTTTGTAAGAATCTTTTACAAAACTCTTTTTAGTTCGTTCAGCAGGTATTTAGTGAAAACTTATCGTGTGCCAGGCCTGCAGGCGTGAAGGACCCAATTAATGGCAGGAGCTTACATTCTAGTGGTAATGAAGTAGCCAACTCAGAAATAAAACTATGCTTGGGTCTCACTGCAGCCCAGTTAATCATAATCCTTGAGTGTAAACCTGCTTACTAGTTGATTTTTTTTTTCTTTTTGGGGTGAGGGGGGTGTTTTCTGAGACAGAGTTTTGCTATGTAGCCCAGGCTGGCCCCTAACTCTTGGGGATCCTTCTGCCTCAGCCTTCCAAGTGCTGGGATTGTGTGCCACGCCCAAAAGAAAACATTTACAACCTGAAGCTCTGCTCAGCCATGCTATTAGTGTAAGATAAATATTCCGGGCTTACAGGGTGGCATTCCTGCACCCTTCCCCAGGAAGCTGTTGATCTGTGTAGTTATCAAAACGAGTGAGCCAGGTGTGCGTGCCTGTAATGCACTCGGGAGGCTGAGGCAAGGAAGGGTCACTGAGTTCGAGGCCAGCCTGCCCTACCCCATCTCAAAAACAAAACAGGAGGGCTGGTGAGATAGCTCAGCAGACCAAGTGCCTGCTTTGGCAAGCACAGGGACCAGGGTTGGCTCCCCGGTCCCACATGCTGTTGGCTCCACCCCCAGGGCACACTGAGCCAATCTGGGCATGGTGGCACCTGCCTGTAATCCCAGTGCTGGGGAGGCTGCGAACAGGAGGATCACAATGAATCTGATGTGCATAGTAAGACCCTGTACCAAATACACAAATAAAAACAGGAAAGCTGGGGTGGTACACGCATCTGCCTCGCAAGTGTAAGGTCCTGAGTTCAATTCCTAATACAAAAAAAAAAAAAAAAGAAAGGGGACCACAGACTAAGAAGAGTGCTGGGCAGTAAACCCCAAAGAACAGCCTCACTTCAAGTTCTGCTGGAGACGTACAGGTAATTCTGCAGTGGCATGTGGAGAACAAGAAACAAACCAAAATGTCAAAAGCTACAAATGACACAATAAAAACAAATCCCAGGGGCTGTTGAGATGGCTCAGTGGTCTGAAGCACCTACTTACAACGAGCTTGGCAAGGCACAGAGACCGTGGTTCGATCCCCCAGCACATGCCAGCCCACCCTGCCCCCTGGTGGGCTGAGCTGGCCACACACACACACACAAATAAATAAATAAACTTAAAAAATAAATAAATAAAAACATCCCAGCCCCAGCAACACGCACAGACACACAGCAGCGAATCCTGAGCTGCTGGGTGGCCGTGCGAACAACGATAGTCGGAGCTGTGTGGCTTGGCCTTGGGCAAGCGACCACCAAACAGCTTGAACTCTTGCAACTCATTGGATTCTTCTGGGTGTTTGTTGTTGCTTTTGATCCTAGAAGTATTTGGGTAAAGATAAATCATACAAGTTTGCAGCCACCTAGTAGCTTTGAATGTGATTAGCCAGTGCTCTAGCCCTCTGATGATGAACTGAAGAATGAGGAGAACCATCCAGAACTCCAGGGGCCTCTGCAGTCGGCAACACGCCCACTCCAAGAGAAAGCCTCCCCGTCTTCTGGAGTTCGCTGGGTTTGTGGGAACAGAGCTAGCACGCTGGAAAGAGGAGCATCGGGGTTTCTGGTGTTGAATGTGGGAGATAAGAGAATGAGACCTCAAGGAGACGCCTCAGCGCTTGTGGACAGCCTGGTACTGCCTGGGGACCTTTGGAAGGGACGGGGCTGGATCATTTGAGTGTGTTGGGCGGCAATGTCTCGATGAGATGAATGGGTTGTGTAGTGCACCGTTCTGCCGGGCCAGGCTATCAGCCCATGGTTAGTATTGAAAGCCAAGGTGAAGGCCAGGTATGGTGGCACACACCTGTAATCCCAACACTTGGGAGGCTGAGGCAGGAGGAGTTCGAGGCCAGAGAGAACAGACAGACAAAGGAATTCAGAGTGAGGGAAAGGGAAAGAAGAGGCTGCAGAGGAAGCAAGCTGTCTGCAGGCTTCTCCCTGGACACCTCACCTCTTAGCTGCAGCTGGGGAGTGCGGGTGCAGAGCTGTTTCACCAAGCATGTGGTTCAGCTGCAGAAAACCCTAAAGATCTGAGCGGCACACCCAGGACCCAGGGTTCTTTCCACTGTCGATTCCACTGCCCCAAGAGGGGCCCCTCTCCTGATTCAGGAGAGCTGTGGAGCAGCAGGTGTGACATTCAAATCCCACGCCCCAGACAGCTGAGGCAGAGAGCATCCCTTTCACCCTGACTGGCTTAATCACCCTGCTGCTCCTGCCTGTGTGAAGCTGGGAAATTGTCCCCAGCCGGTGTGTGGCTGTGCTGAGAAGCAGGTACAGGAGGACAAGGGGTGATTGCTGACTTGGCAATCTGGACCAGGACACGGAGGGGAGGGACGGTCCAGACAGGAGGGGAAACAGCCACAGAGTCACCAGGGCCTCTCAGAGCAAAGCTAAACTGGCCTGGGGACAGGGACACTGACTACGGAGCACAGGATGCAGCAGAGGGCCAGGCAGGGACAGAAATGGGGGAGGGGGTAGGATCTGTAGGCGCCCTGCTGGTCCCTTACCTTCTTCTCCAGCTTTTTCCAGCTGGCAGGCAGAGGGCTGAAGCTGTCAACCCTGCCCATGGCTTTTCCAGATGACCTGGCAGGGCTGGGGGAGAGACCTCAGGATATCTGTGGGACCTAGGCTGAGCATGGACACGAGTGGGAGCTGGGGGTTCTGCCAGGTGAGCACCAGGTGGGTGTGGCCAGGGACAGGCTGGGTCCCCTGGGCTGCCACTCCACTCACCCTAGAGGGCGACAGCACAGGACTGCTTCACTTGTGGGTCCAGCTGAAGCCGGGTCAGGCTGGGGTGATGGGCAAGAGGGGATGATGGGCAAGCTACCCTGGTGGCTCGAGTCTGGGGGGAGGTGACTTCCTTTGGGCGTGCTGAGTTTGAGGAACCCCAATCACAGAGGCAAACTTTGTTCCAGAGACCGAAGCTGCAGGCCGCGGGTACACCTGTAACTCCAGATGCTGGGAGGCCCAGGCAGGAAGAGTTCAGTGCGGGCATTTCCCAGGCCCTGTCTCAGAAGCACTGGGGAGGCAGCTCCAGGCAGAGCACTTCTTGGTTCCACCACCGTGCCGGGAAAAGCAGAAACGCAGGCCTGGAGGGAAAGGCTGGAGTCAGCTGGTGCCCTGCGAGACAGGGCCAGGCTTAAGGGAAGGCAGGCTTCAGAGGTAACAGTGGGACACAGGAGGGTAGGGAGTGGCCA